TACTTCAAATCATATTACATAATATTTATGTCAAATGTGCAATTAAATTCAAAATCAACTTATACCCATAAAGAAAAAGAAAAATTGACTAACTATTAACACTTAAAGTGTATAGATTTAAAAATGGTATATATTAAAATTATTATAAATATAATGTATATCAAAGCTAAGCTAAGCTTAAGCTTTTTTTTAGCTTAGCGAATAAATACGTTTCTTATAAGAAAACAATAATTGCAACGACTAGTTGTTATTTGTACACCGCATGTGGAAATCATACAATAATTTCGGAAGGAAGTAATGCCATATTTTTTATAATAATAACTATTATAATGCATGATTGATTGAAGGAACGTGCCAAGCACCAATTGCAATTATTCGGTGCCCTCCCCCGCACTATTCATATGAAGAACGTCATCGAAGCCTGCATTGTCTAAACATAAACGTAAATGAGCAGATGCATTGTTTATTTATTTAATGTTGAGCAGCTGATTTTTGTTTACATCTCGCTTTGTTTACATGCCAAGTGCAACCAATAGGAGGGCCCCAATTTGTTTACATCTCGCAAAGCGCCGCAAATATCGCTTTTGTTTACATGCTCATCGCAGCCAACTTCAGTTTGTTTACTCTTTCTTTTGTTTACATTCCCACTTTAAATCCGAACCGGGTTGTTTACTTGCTGTGCACTTATGCTCGCCTGGTGTATTAATAAACGAAATGGAGCTCGTTCATATCCAAAATCGACAGAACTAATTCCCAACTGGCCGAGTTTGTCTTTAAAAGACGCTTAAACCATCGATATCTACCAGGCGAACATAAGTGGGCAGTTGGCAGATGCACCGATTGTTTATTTAATGTTAAACAGCTGATTTTTGTTTACATCCCGCAAAGCACCGCAAATATCGTTTTTGTTTACAACTTCAGTTTGTTTACAACTTCAGTTTCTTTACTTCTGGTTTTGTTTACATTCCCGATTTAAATCCGAACCGGGTTGTTTACTTGCTGTGCACTTATGTTCGCTTGGTGTATTAATAAACGAAATGGAGCTCGTTCATATCCAAAATCGACAGAACTAATTCCCAACTGACCAAGTTTGCCTTTAAAAGACGCTTAAGCCATCGATATCTACCAGGCGAACATAAGTGGGCAGTTGGCAGATGCACCGATTGTTTATTTAATGTTAAACAGCTGATTTTTGTTTACATCCCGCAAAGCACCGCAAAGATCGGTTTGTTTACATCTAGCCCAACCAATAGGAGGATCCCAATTTGTTTACGTCTCGCAAAGCACCGCAAATATCGTTTTTGTTTACAACTTCACTTCTGGTTTTGTTTACATTCCCGATTTAAATCCGAACCGGGTTGTTTACTTGCTGTGCGCTTATGCTCGCCTGGTGTATTAATAAACGAAATGGAGCTCGTTCATATCCAAAATCGACAGAACTAATTCCCAACTGACCAAGTTTGCCTTTAAAAGACGCTTAAGCCATCGATATCTACCAGGCAAACATAAATGGGCAGTAGGCAGATGCACCGTTTGTTTATTTAATGTTAAACAGCTGATTTTTGTTTACATCCCGCAAAGCACCGCAAATATCGTTTTTGTTTACAACTTCAGTTTGTTTACAACTTCAGTTTCTTTACTTCTGGTTTTGTTTACATTCCCGATTTAAATCCGAACCGGGTTATTTACTTGCTGTGCACTTATGCTCGCCTGGTGTATTAATAAACGAAATGGAGCTCGTTCATATCCAAAATCGACAGAACTAATTCCCAACTGACCAAGTTTGCCTTTAAAAGACGCTTAAGCCATCGATATCTACCAGGCAAACATAAATGGGCAGTAGGCAGATGCACCGTTTGTTTATTTAATGTTAAACAGCTGATTTTTGTTTACATCCCGCAAAGCACCGCAAAGATCGGTTTGTTTACATCTAGCCCAACCAATAGGAGGATCCCAATTTGTTTACGTCTCGCAAAGCACCGCAAATATCGCTTTTGTTTACAACTTCAGTTTTTTTACTTCTGATTTTGTTTACTTCTGGTTTTATTTACTTCTGGTTTTGTTTACATTCCCAATTTAAATTCCAGCCGGCTTGTTTACTTGCATTGCCAGGCCAGGCCCTTCAAAAGTCAAAGTAGTTGCGGTGTTCAAAATAAATAAATAAATCAGTTGCAGCGGCTTGATAAAAATTTAAGTATTGAATATTTCGTTTATTGTAATAGTAGGCTAGAGCTCTGAAATATCCTTTACCCTCTCCCACAAAAACAACCAAATTTAATTTAATTTTTATTCAATATTTTGTTGTTAATTATTTGAATTAAACTTAGAAAATAAAATTAGTAAAATCAAAAATTCGTAGCACGTAGAGTTGTGCAGATTTAAAAGAATGCATCTCCAATTGTTTCTTATATTAGAATGCTCAAGATTTCCACCAAACTATCCTGGAATTTGCTCCCAGGATAAACGCTGTTTATGAATATGTTGAAATGATTTTAGGACAGTAGTACCTACCAGTTCTCTGTAATTGTCGCATACATAATGCATTCGGCCGCACATTAAATCGGCGCATGTGGAATGCAGTTCAATGCCACGGCCCATGGACATTAACCGCACACGTCGCGTCATTAACCCATGTCAGCCGCCAACAAACACAATCTTGCCGCTGCTGTCGATAATGATGCGATGCAATGCACTTTCAATTTTGAATAAAAGAAATAAAAATACAAAAATATAATGAAAAATGCATGAAATCAACTAAAAGTAAAAAGCGTGCCACATGTGTCGCCTGAAATTGTTATGCCATTGAAAAATCAGCTGCTCCTTCCTGCTACGTCCGGACACATCGGCCATATAATTAAATTGAATATGGCATGTTTTTCTGTATTATTATTTTTTGTTTGCAACATCCACTTGAGTGTTGCATGGAAATGAAATAAATAAAAGAATGAAATGGAATTGCATAACAAATAAAATGCGGTCGGCAATCGTTCCAAAACTGCAGCCAGCTTAATTGTTTATTAATGTTTTGAGCACATTTTTGTTTCATTGTTTTATTCATGTGCGTGCCTGTGTCTGTTTGTGGGTGTGCTCGGCGTTGTTTAATTTGGTCGCTAATTAAGCATTTAACACATAATATTTGCTGTTGTTGTTGTCTTTTATATTGTTGATTTTTATTTCAATTTGCTCACCTCTCTTTATTTATTTACTTTATATGTAGGTATATATGTATGTATATACTATACTTGTATGTGTAAGCATATGTATATGCCATTTTTGTATATGTGTCTCCTCATTTAATATTAATACATTTTTCAATTAATGCTTTACACACTCCATTAAATATGCTTAAATACATGTTTCGCAAATACATTAACTTGAATATGTTTATGCACGCACTATAGTATATACCTATATAGCTAGGTTGTATGTATATTATACTCGTCTATTTCTTTATTTTTGTTTTTGTTTTTATTTCTTTTGCTATAGCTTTGCATATTTGCCAGCCACTTTCTGTTAATCCATATAGCAACACGTTATAGCAATAATTAACTTAAATGTTTAACATTTTCGTTTATATTTTGTCTCTGTCCGTCCCATTTCTTAATTGTCTATTTACTTCTCTATGATAATGTTTTTAATTCAACAAAGATTTAAACCCTGCATATAAATTTGTGTTAATGTTGTTGCTCCTTAGTTACGTGAAATATATTCGTTATGCTTATAGAGGTTAGTAATAATTAGCTCACTCTCGCTGATATATTATTCATTCTACATAATGTACACTGCAAAAAAATAATAATAATAATAATAAAAAGAAAGAAATAAATGGAATTAAAATCTGTGAGTGAATACTATAGATTGTAGAATCAGAATTCGAAATCTGTGCCTGAATAATAATTGTGAAATCAGAAAGCAAGTAAGAGCTGATTTTTTGGAAATTTTGGATACTTGTTTTTTGAATCCAATCTAAGACCAATCCTTTAAAAAGGAAGTGCACATAGTAATTTCTCATGAACTATTCACAAAAGAATTACACTCTACCACGTTTTTTAAAATCAATTAACAACGTATTTAAAAAAATGAGTTGATGAGTCAGAAAGTATTTGAAACTAAAATATTGAATTCTCCTCTCGTGTTGAAATCTAAGGCTGTATTTTGAAATATTTTTAATAAAAAGTTCATCATTTAAAGACAATCGATCGTCTGCCTCTGCCATGAATTGGTGTCCTTTCTGTTTTTTTGTTTTGTTTAACTCGAAAACTGAAGCTTTAAACAATAATTTGTGGCAAATTAAATTTTTCTACAATACTTACTTACACTAATTACAGTTATTCAAGCACAAACATGTCTGCGTAATTATATCGTGTATGCATGCGTGCTTCGCTCTCAATGATTTTTGCTCTCGATATGTGTATTTAATTCGCATTTTAACGTTCCATACCTTAAGGCGTCTATATGCATAAGCATTTTATAAGCTTATGTGTGTGTCTGTGTGTGTGTAAAAATGCCATCAGCGTTTAACGCACAAATATATGTATGTATATGTATGTATATATAGATTTTTGTTGAATTTGGCTTGCAGTTTACACTCGAAAATATTTATACTAAGTGCGTGTGTATCTAAAATTTGAAGCACATTTAGGGAAACTTAGGGTTGACCCTTTGTGAGAGTTTTTTAATTGCTTATACTTGTATATCAATGTCAAAGCCGCAGTTAATACCTATGTATATTTATACTCATATAGTCTATTAGGCCTAAGGATCTTAACTCTTACACTGCACTCTATGGTTTTGGCTTCAAGTGAAAACAATGTTTAGGTCTGTAAGGTTGTTCTTTGGGGGCGGATCATAATCATAAATCGCTACTGCCTTCTCATTACTTGAGTATAGAACTATATATATATATATATATATATATATATATATATATATATATATATATATATATATATATATATATATATTGATGTGCACCTTAAGAATAACTTTATACGTACTTTCCAAGTTCTTGTTTCGTTCAGCTTAAGCCTAGGGGTAAAACAAATACATCAGAGCTCGACTACAAATGTCCAGACCTTAACAACAAACTCATTTGCATGAAGAGCCACGCGATGGCGCATATCGCCTGCGGTCCAGAGCTGTCCAGAGTAACGCCATGGGCCCCATTGACGATTTCGTCCTCCTCTCCCAGACTGCCGCCATTACTGTTGCCATTGCTGTTGCCATTGGTTTTATCTAGGAATGATTTTTGTTCAGATAAGCCGATTTCATTCAAATTTGATTGATAGCGCGTATCTGAGGCGTTGGATGAGAGCACATGAGTCGGAAGGAGCGGGACACAAAGAGAGCAAATGGTAGACAGAGAGAGAGAGAGAGAGAGACAAAGAGAGTGAACAAGCACGATGAGTTGAATAAAGTGAGGGGAATATATAAACCATGATAATGAGTACAAGCCTAAGTCGGTGATATACACTTACTTTTGTCCTGCGCATATATCGAACGCGTTGAATCGGCGCTACCATAGCCAATGCTATTACCCTCCGACCAGTGCGCATCGGTTGTGTACAGATTCGAGGGCGCTGTAGTGGGCGGATAGGAGACTGCAAATGTAGAAACAGAGAGCAGAAGCATTATTATCAGATAATACTTTTAAATATAAATTTATTTCATATAAAATTTAATGAAAAAATTAAATAATACCATTAACAAGAAAAACTATAAGATATATTTCACAGATTTTGTTGGACGAACAACTTTTAGTAACAATTTTTGATAACAGTTTTGAAATTAATGAAAAATTATTCTATTAAGACTTTTGTTTGTAACAATCGTTCCCATTGGTGTAGCGGGCAGCTGCCCCTTCGCAGAATTGTAACGCATTCAAAATATTGTTGCCCATAAAATTGTACAATATATTAAAATCTTTTCAACTATTTGGTTCTTATGAATACTTATTGGAGCGACTTTTCGGAATGCCTGAATTATTGATTTTAACAAACGCTTGCTTAAGGCCAACAAAAAACAGAAGCAGTACCTTTATATGGACTCTCAATATCACTCTGCTAGGATTGGATCAGGTCAGTATAATGCCTGAAGTACAATAGTTGAACATTTTGCAAAAATGTAAGTCTATAGACAGTTGTTTGTGCAGCAGCTTTAATCAAGTCTTTATTTATACATATAAATAAAATTGTGTAATCAAATCTTTATATTTATTACATATACAGAAAATTACGTATAATTTTATTTTTTGATGGTTGTCCCTAAGAAATTTCTCCGTCATATTAATAATGAATTTATTCAGGAAATCCAAAATCTTGAATCCCTCTAACAGAACTCCTGACTAGGCCCATGGCCGTTTCTATGTCTATAATGATTCCCTTCGCTATGATGGGAGTATTTTTTCCTAGAAAATAGACGCTGTTACGCCTCTTTTTCAACTTCTTAGCAGATCATTTCTCCCTTGGGATACAGTGTAAGAAAATCAGGCATTAAGGGATGACAAGTTTAAAAAATTCAACAAAACATAGCATTTTTTTCGTTTTTGTACAAATAGTCAGGAGAGTTGAGAAGTTGAAACAAGTAACCAAAAAGCTTCGTGGAGTTGCTAAAGCATTTTTTTTTTCAAAAAAGTAAAAAATCAGATAAAAACATATAAACAACGAAGTGGACAATACAGCCAGGTTTTTCTTTATCAAGACTACTATTCATAAGACTGACTAGCATGTTCGAAAGACCAACTATGTATTGAATATTTTCGAAGTAGTGTTACAGAAAATATATACAATACTATTGTATGTTAATATGAATAATTCCATCAGAGAATTCCTCTTTCAATTAGTATAAAAGCTTAGGCTTTCTTCGAATTTTTTAAGGATGACCAACATTTTGCCTATCTTTTAAATATAAGTAAATTTTAATTCTGTTTATTCAATAATTTAAAAAAAAAAGTTTCACTTGTATATAATTTTGAATTATAAACAATTTAGAGCTTTAATTCGATTTCCACCTAATATTTATATTTGTGTTTTCCTTTTGATGTAAATTTGTGTGTTGGAGGAAACAAAAGTAGATAACTTCATTAAATTCGGGAAATAATACAAGTTAATGAGGATACTGCCAGATTTCTATATAAATATATATGCTAGTCCAATAATTTAAAATAAAAAGTTTACTTGTTAACATTTTCAAATTTTAATTGTTTATAGAGCTTTAATTCGATTTCAACCTAATATTTTTAGTGTTCTTTTTACTTTTTTTAACATTTTCGTACTTGGAGGAAAGAAAATGAAACAAAGTTATTGAGGATTTGCTCTTTTTTCCCGATTTGTACATTTCTGAGAAGCATTTTGAATGCCACAAGTTTTTCTAAATACAAATAGTTCAGTTCAGCTGCATTGCCACTTGGTTCGGCTATCCCTGTTGCGTATATCCTTCTCCTGCATTTCCACTTGTCATTGCCGCGTTTCGCTTCCCCATCGCTGTTGGCTATTTACTTTACATTTTTTCAATCTTTCAGAGGAAATTCCGTGCATTTGTTGGTCGCAGTATTGTTGTTATCATAAAATTTACATATTCCAATTGGCATTGTGAGCACGTTTCATTTCATTTGATTTTTGTTTATTTAAACATTTTTGTACGCTCGCTTAACATTTCACTCGACAGAGTACGCTCCAGTTGATTATGCAAAATGCTAATTATTTTGTATTTTCATAATAATGTGACAATATGCACATTTTTACCGAAACACTATGCCAGCCTCGGTCTCCCAAAAGGACCCCATATCGTGTGTCTATATGCCAGTACTCGTATGCATGCATGTTTATAATTAAAGCGCTCTCTGCCATGGCCACTTTTCAATTTGTGCACAAAAAGCGCTCGCATTTTAATTACGCGCCTAATTTGTTTTGGCATCGAGTTTTCCCAATGCGTTCCAAAAGGGCTTTTGGCCAACACATGTCAGGCCGTTGGGTTATCGGGCTGTTCGGTTTTTGGAGTAAAGTGGTTGGCTGGTTGGCTGGTCGGTTGCATTTAATGCATTTGTATGCATACATATAGTATTTGAAATCGGCGAAATTATTTTGATGCTCGTTGATTTGCAAGCATCGCCTATTGCCTATTAAGCAGCTAAGTGGGCGGCGGGCAATTGAAGCTCGACATATTTCAAATCAATATGAAAAACTAATTAATATGCTGACTTTTGTGCCATGAATTTGATTATGACAAATAGAAAGATACAGATGGAGAGAGGGAGAGAGATAGAGAGGCAGGGAGATGGGCAGAGCGCGGTTTAAATTAATTAAAAAGGGCGAAAGTGTCGGAAATAGAATCTGCATTTCCATAATTTATTTATGCGTCAGTTCTGAAATTTTAATAAAAATAATAATAGAACGTAATTAAAGAGGAGCTCTGCGTCATAATTTAAGGAATATTTGTTTAAATAAGCAAGTATTTTAAACAAAAACCTCCCCATAATGAGGTTTGAATGTAATGTGTGCGAAATAAGTAACTGGGACAAAACATGACTATTACTTTTTATCACTATTACATATCGTTTGTTTTAAAAATATATATATATGAATATAACAAAATATAAATATAATATGTAGTATATATAAAAAATATATAAATATTTATGTTTTGTATTATTATATTAATTCGGCCTGTATTGCATTATTTTTTATCCTTTTTTCTGCCAATATTTCTAATCATCTTCTCCTTTGCTTATAGCAAGAATTTTCCCCAAAGTACCGCTAATTTTTACCTTTATGACTAAAGATAGCTTGCAGCTTTATTTGCTAGAGCGAAGCAAGTTGGGAAAAATAATAAAAACTATTCTTAAACGACTTCCAAAAAGGAGGAGGAGGTTATTAATTCGACTGTGTTTTTGTTTTATTTTTACTTTTTTTATTTTTCATTACTTATTACTTATTATTCAGAAATAAAATACCGGTTATGCATTTTATTAAATCCAGCGCCCATTATTATAAATAACCTTAATTACACGGGATTCTTTTGAATTTATTACTTTTTTTTGTGTTAATTTTAACCCATTTCAGGACAATAGCTGCTTTGAGATCCATTAGAATATAAAGCTCCCTTCCAGGGGCAGAAACTTTATTTGAGAGAACTCGCCAAAGGTTCTACATTGGATTTAGGGCTGGTTTTTTTTCAAAAATTCTGAAATCTATGGGTGGGCGCAGTAAAATTTGTTAATAATAACAATTGGTTAATATTTTTCGTCGCCTAATATTTTATTTTATCACCCATCCGGGCAATATTTCCATGACTCAATCATATTGGCTTATGACTGGAAAGTAACTCGGATTTGGACAGTTTTTTTTTTCACATGAAAAGCCAATCCTTTATTTATAATAGCTGATCTATATAATGGCCTTACATGTGTGTTAGTTACTAAAGCAGCAAAAACAATAGACTCCTAGGTGGGGGGGAGGGGGGGTGAGTGTGAAAAGGTCAAGCGATCAAAATTCTGAAATAGAAGGCAAAAAGGACCCCTTAACTGCTTCAACAATTGCACAACAAATCCATCACGTAATTAAGCCAAAGACGTGATATTAACTCACAGCTTGAGCTGCAAAATTCAAGCTTTAGAAACAAAAGGAAAAAAATATCAGATTTTCTACGTACTACAAGTATATATGAAATAAAATTTAAGTTTGCCAAAGGCTCCTGCAACTCATGTGAGTGAGTTGTCTTCGTCCTTTTTGGGGAGCTGTGCGGCCACACACACACACACACACACACAGAAAGTTGTGTGTGCCAGCCAGCTCCACACCTTAGCCTTAGCCAGAGAGCACGTGACTTGATTCTCGCCGGCTTGATTATGTCGCACCCTATCGCCCAATGTGCCGGGCATATACGTATCAGTGGAGCCTCTGCCCCAAACTACTTTCGATTACGTGCTGCTCCGTCCGTCGGTTGCTCGTTGGCTGCATGTCGTGCGTGCTTTGGTCAGCGCGTCAAGCAATTAAGCCAGGACATTGGCTCTATGGTTAGTCGAATGGTGGCATTAAATGCGGTCGGGATTTGCCATAGTCGGCCATAGTCTCCGGTCGCCTTTGTTGCTGCTACATGTGAAAACGGAATCGGCTAAATGGCTGAAATTTGTCAATTTGTGTTAAGGCCAATGCGGCACTTTTTCAACGCTGATTTTCTTCTCAACGAACAAAGGATATGGCCCACTGAGCACATAATTAGTTGTGGCGTTGCTTAAAGTTGAACAACTCCACTAGTTTGCCATTCAATGAGCAGGCTTGCTTTAAGCTATTTAATTTAATTTAGTTTATTCAAGCTCTGTTTTCCTTCAATTACATTTCTATAACAAAATAATAGACTCTACCAGAGTGCCACTTGGCGTATGCGTAATAAAAAATGGCAATTTTAAATGCATTTCAGGCTCGCTCTTAACTTAATCAAACATCTCACAAAATGAAAGAGTAGTGCACTTACCATACAATCGTATAATGCCATCCGTTTCGCCTCGGGGGTTCTTGGCCACACACTTGTAGATGCCATCATCGCCGCTGCTCACATTAATGATTGTGAGCTTCATGTGCGTCTTATATGCCGGCACGCCGACGCTTGATTCCACTCTGTAAAGCAATGGAGAATAATAAAAAGAAAATACAGTTAAATTACAGTAAGATATCACTTTTCACTTAATACGCACATAAATTATTTCTTTTTTATTATTTATTCTATTCTATTAATTTGTTAACAAAAAATAGCCCTTGTTATAGGCCTAACTACTGCACTATTTTCCCTGCTGAAGAGACTAAAGATGGCATCCACATTTTTTTGTAGAGCCAGGCAGTTATAAAATCCCTGAAGGCATCCATCCAGGTGGCTAGCAGACGAGAAAATGAGCCACCAAGGTATTGAGGGCAAAGGCTGGAAACAGAGCTAAGCCTGGTAGCAGAAACCTTAAAAAAAAGTTGCTCATCAGTAGAACAACAATAATACCACAAACAAGACTCGAATCCGGCTCCAGCTACAGAGAATAAAATGCAGACTGCCTGGTAGCTGCCCATAATAAGAAGCTGGAAATTACAGAAACCGACAGATGCAGAAAGTGCAAGGACCTTTAAAAGCTAGAAAAGCTAAAAACACCTCGAAAACCACTACCCAGTACTGCTATCAGAAATAATAAAGAAATAAATAAATAAAGAAATAAGGAAATAATTAAAGAAATAAAGAAGTAAAGAAATAACGAAATATACAAGTAAACAAAAAATAAATAATGAAATATAAAAATAAAGAAATAATTAAATAAATAAAGTGTGAAATGCCATAAAATACAGAAGTAAAAATTAATGAAATAATAATATAAAGAAATAAATAAAGAAATAGAGAAGCAAAGTAGTAAAGAAATAACGAAATATACAAGTAAGCAAATAAATAAATAAAGAAATATAAAAATAAAGAAATAATTAAATAAATAAAGTGTGAAATGCCATAAAATACAGAATTAAAAATTAATGAAAAAATAAAATAAAGAAATAAATAAAGAAATAGAGAAGCAAAGTAGTACAGAAATAAGAAATATACAAGTAAACAAATAAATAAATAAAGAAATAGAAAAATCAACAAATAAATAAAGTGTGAAATTCCATGAAATGTAACTAGATGCTTTTTTCATTATTAAAACGCTCCCCGAACTGAACTCCAATATTCTGCGACTTGATATCCATTAACACCAACTCGATCTATATATCTTGAACTGTCACCTAAGAGAACCTTTGTTTTATTGCAATAATTGTAATAAAAGGCAATCAAATTCAAATCGAATGATAACCGTTCAATTTTTATTTTGAAATATCACTTCAAAATATATTTTTCAAACAAGTTTGTAAAGGAAAGAGAGGGGAGCGTAAATTGCAAAATAAAAAATAGTTCCAGAAAATAACAAACTAAACAAAGTAGGAGCTAATAAATAAATTAATTGATTAGCTATTATTTTAATTTGACTAGATTTCTCCATCTTAGGCTTTTCTAACTTATAAGATGCTTTTTATAATTTTTTGATGTCGGCAACCAATGTTTGTTGACATAAATATATAACTTAAGCTAAAAATGTTTATTTAACTACATTTGTTATTGTTTGGAAAGATTTGTTGGTGTTGTGGCATTGTTAAGCAATAAATTAATTGTTATTATCTCTTGATACTTACTTGTATTTATGTGAATCGTGAATGATTGGTCCCTCGCCGCGTGTCCAATAGTTTAGGGATGTTGGATGCGCTTCCGTAAAACATTCGATGGTGACATTGAAACCTTCTGGTGCGCCAACCAACTGATGTGGTATTAGTAGCATGGGAGGAACTGAGGGGAAATAAGGTAAATATTTATTTATTGACAATAGTTGCTATACATAGATAATATTATAAAAACTATTTACAAATTAGGAGTGCTAGCTACCTTGGAAAAAGTAATTATACTTGTAGTTGCTTAAATGGAATTAAACATTTGACTGTGAATCGGGGCGTATGGCGAATAAAATTCCCCCAACGTGTCGAAGACGTTGATAGACATAACTATATTGTACAGTTATTTTGTAGGCTGTTTAGCTTTTAAGTTATAAATTGTAACGTAATACTATATTATATCTTGTTTTTGTTAAATAAATATTGTAATTTGTATCAACAGCCCATTTTGTTGATTTAATTAAATAAAAACAGATTTAAATTAAAGTTTTTAATAAACTAAAATTTCAAAACATTCATATTGTCAGAATTTAAAATACTTTTTCTTACAAAAACAAACTCCTTTTGTTTTGTTTTATAGGCTGATTATGAAATGTAATAGCATATTTAATAAAATAAAAATAAAATCAGCAGAATTGAATTAAAAATTTGAATAAACTAAAATTTCAAAACATTCATATTGTCAGAACTTAAAAAATTCTTTCTTATAAAAAAAAACCTCCATTTCTTTGGTTTATGATTATGAAATGTGATAGCGTATTAAATAAAATAAAAATTTACAAAATCAACAGATTTAAATTAAAATTTTTTATAAACTAAAATTCCAAAACATTCATATTGTCAGAATTTAAAATATTCTTTCTTAAAAAAACATCCTATTGTTTTGTCTATGATTATGAAATGTAATAGCATGTTAAATAAAATAAAAATTTAAAAAACCCACAGATTTAAACCAAAAGTTTTTATAAACTAAAATTTCATGATATTTTAAAATACGTTTTCTTATTTTTTATTTATGATTATGAAATGTAATAGCATATTTAATAAAATAAATATAAAAAGATTCAACAAATATAAATGAAAAGTTTTTATAAACTAAAATTTCAAGACATTCATATTGACAGAATTGAAAATACTTTTTTTTTTTTTTAAATAACTTCTTTTAGGTTTAGTTTCATTCTGAGAGCCTTTGGCAGGAGGTCGGGACATGGTCGCTTGTAACCTGCTCCTTAATTTATTGTGCAGTTTAAATTGTGTGTAGCACTCATTCGTTTCCCATATTGACAAACAAAAGTTTCAAGTCTAATTTATTTATGCATAGTTTTTGGTTCGGCTTATGCAAATGCTGCAGTCACAGTTTGAAGCAGAGTTTTTCTTATATTTTTTGTATGTTTTTCTGCTGCCTGCCTGCCTGCCTGCCTGCCTGGCTGTCTTGCAACTGATTTTCATTTAAATGAGTGCAAGACACAAGGCGGCACTTTGCCTTTTATTTGCCTAACCATGTCCTGAGAAAGTTGCCTCCGCCGGCTGTCACCAAGCCAGCAACGAAACCTGCCACCTGCCCCAATCTCCCACAGCCGAAGTGGAAAACTATTTCTTGCCCCCGCTCTGACTCTGGCTCTTGGCTGTGCAAAAAATCTTATGAATAGCATTATGCTGCGTTTTTGAAATATTCTTCTGGGCTGGCTGTGTGTGCTCGAGTTCGTATCATCCTTGCTGTCGATTTTTTGTCTCGAGCCTTTGTGTGGAATTCTTAGCTCCCCAGCTTTCTTTTTTTTTTTTTTGTTTTTTTGTGCTTAAGTCAATGAGCGTGTCGTGAGTTTTTGACTTGCGCAGTAATTATGTAAAACACCTATAGAAATTTTCTTGCGATTTGTCAATGCACTGCGACCCAAACCAAGGCTTTCAAAAGCGCGAACTTCAGGTGCATTCGGCGCACATTTTTAATTAAGATATTAAATGTGAGTCGCATTTTATTCTTCTTCTTTTTTTTTTTTTTTGGTCTGCATGAAGACTAATGAACATTTTTGCATTTCTCATAGTTGCGTGGCACTTTTCTTTTTCGTTTCTTTCTTTTTTTGTCATTTCTTGCCATCATCATCATTAGGGCTTACCACAATGCCTCAAAGCCCACAATAGGCCTCTTATACCCCGTTGTCATTCTCGCTTCGTTTCGCATTGCTGTCCACTTTACCTTTTGTTGATTTATGGTTGCCGCGGGCTGCCAATTAAGTTGCGGCAAAAAGGATGCAGTCCATCCAGCATTATTATTATTTCTCTTCTTTTTTTTTTTGGTTTTTTGTTGAATGGTCATTTCGGATGCGCAACATTTCAGCAATTGAATTTTTAATAAGCTCGGACACAAATTAGCGCCTTTTTGTGTTCATAAAGCTGGCTTGCGATTACGAAGGTGCGCAACTGAAGGGGCTTTTCACCTTTTTTTTTGTTTGTTATAATCCTGTAATCAAAATGAGCTTAAGTGCTCGAGCTAAGTGTGACAAAATGCGCACCTAATTAGCTTGTCATGACGTTGATGGCCCTGCTCTTGTCACTGAGTTGGAGCACTAATTTGATGAGTTGGACGCTGCTATTATAGAGAATTATCTACTCTAAATACTTGCACAACTAAATAGCTTGATTAACTATTTAATTCAAATGCATTCATTAACTATGGAAATATTTGAAACTGGTTCTGTTTAAATCAAAATGCATTTGCTTGGATTAACATTTCGAATGGCAACTGCATTTTGTTTGATAAGAATTTGAAAATTTATAAATATTTGTACACATTTGTAATATTTGCTCATTTTTTCGATAGAAATAATACTCCTAAGCAACAGTGTTTCTACATTTGTTTTGTGCCTAATTAATTAATTTAACCCTAGATGGTTGTTCTTTTTTTCATAGCTGCGCTTTTTGTGGATGACTAGACTTTAGCAAAAAGTAACTTTTTTAACAAAATACTTGTGAATGTTCATGAAACTAAGTTCCTTTATTAATTCCAAGACTAAACACCTAGTTTAAGGTGTATTTGTATTTAACTATAAGTTTAATTTAAGTTATAAATATAACAGTATAATTTAAAAAAAATAAATAAAAAAAAAGTATTATGTACACAATAATAAACGTAAGTATAAATAAGTAAGTAAATAAATAAGTAAAAATAAGTAAATAATTAAATAAGTATAAATAAAAAAGTATAAATAAGTTTTTATAAAGTCTTATTTAATCTACCAAGTTGAAGCTTAGCCGCAATACAAGTATATGATGAAGATATATGTTGTTTTTGGGTATAATATTAAAAATATTAGAACTGAATGCGAAATGAATTTCATAATAAATAAAATAAAAAATTTAACAAATGAGAATTTAGTGTTTAGGGATCAAAAGAAAAGCAACAATTTGAAATCGGCCGTAGTCGTTTCGACCAAGAACAACAATCTAGGAAACCATCTAGAAAACATTGTTGTTCTTTTTAGTATTTTTTTTTTTTGGGTAATGCTAACGAAATATCTAACCCTACTTTTGCGAACATCCGTTAAACTAATTTATGGCTTTTCATAATTAAATGAACCTCTTTTTATAAAGCACTTAATTTTTTTTATTTTTGTTTTTAAGTCTTATGCTTTGCAACTAATAGTTCATGGCTTTAAAAACTTAGTACGAATAATTTGCTATCATTTCGTACCTAAATGCATAAATAGGCAGTAGTTGGCCATCGACTCAAAAGCCATAATTTGCAATCGACAAGCTTTAGTAAGTAGCTTAAAAAAATAGAACACACTACTCGTATATACTTGTACTTGTGTTTCAAACAATTTGTTGTCGTTATTTAGAAATATTTCTTGGTTATCTTCATTGATGACTGTCTGGCAGCCAATTGGCTCACAAATTTCTATGCACTTTGTAGTTGTGTTTGGGCCACAAAATGTAGTTTTCTATCATTGCAGCACATGCTTGGCAAGCATGCCGCAATTTCTCAATAATATTTTGACAAGCAATTTTGCTCTTTACTCACGAATTTTTGTACAATTTTCAGTGGAGAGCTTGTGTTGAACAATTTCTGCGTGTACGAGTATTTCCCATTTCATTTTTGTTGTTGTTGCTATCAAAAGCTGCTGCAGACCGACCCAAAACAACAATTTGTTAAAACAACTGTGACAGCTTGCATATGTCCTTTTGCCAGGACACACACGCACACACAGACAGACAGACAGAGACACACAACGGCACTCAGCATGTCTCGGCTGTGTGTGTATTTGTTTACGTTTATTGTGGCGTGCGTTGCTTAACAAACAGGAAGCAACAAATTCAGCTACTGTTTCCTGTTTGCCATTTTTGTCCTCCCCCCGTCCTGCAGCTGCTCCTCGTCTCTCGCTCCTGCCTGCCTGCCTGCTCGCTTGCTTGCTTACTGTTCAGTTTGTTGCATACTGATTTGTTGCCTTTGTGCAGCAAACCGACAAGCGGCCAACAGCGACACATGCTACAAAAGCAGCACAAGACCCTTAACCTGTGGGGCCCCACTTGAGAAAGAAATCATCGCAAGTTGAAACTACAATTTGCCACTGGGTTTTGTGGATGGCCGGGTGGGTGTTGGTGGCACATTTGGATTTCTGCTGCGCCTGCTCCCACCGGTCGACTAATTTGGTATGCACTACAGATATTTTATATTGATATCCATTTTTGCTCAGTTTTTTTTCCCCTGCCCAGCAAATACTCGACAAATGCGTGCCAAGTCCAAATGTTAAGCAACTTCAGCTTTAGTTTTCAGATTTTTCAGTCCTTAAGCTGACAGCACACACTGCACAGTGGTTGCTTGATGAAGTTGTGGTATGAGGAAAGGAGCATAAACTTGTATATAGACTAACGATATAAATAAACAACAATTTGAACAACCAGAAAAAAACCGGACTTCAAACTATTCCAAAACAAACTAATGTGCACTAAAAAGTAAAAAAAATAGTTCCGTATTCTTCTACAATAATGATATTCTTGGAGTTGTTTAAAAAAAACCGAATTAAGTTGTTGAGAGGTTTTTAAACAGAACTGGGTTTGAAAAGCAATATTTCAAATGGATATAAATCATTGTACATATCCATAGTTCGCCCTACTATACAA